GGGTATTGCAGCAATGCTTCTGGAAAGCAGTTAGGGCAATTTTTGAAGATTTGGGAAAAAAGGTTTAATTATTTGCACTGATTTAGGTAAGAGGATACATGATTAAGATCTACCAGATGAGGGAGATTTTGTCCCATGGATCTGAAAAGCAGGCTCATATACTACTGAGGCAACCTAATCAAGGGCCTGTTAGAACATTCCTGTCAGAATATCATTTCTTACACTGAGAATATTTACATCCTTGTGCTATGACAGGACTCTGATTTGGTCTTGTGTGAAGTGCGATTTCCTTAATGTGACCTGCTCTTCTTAATTTGTTTACAGATGATCGAGAAGATCACGATGAAGAACAAAAATACAGAGACAGCAAAAATAAACTTCTTATGAGTCAAGTGGCCTACTACCTGCCTGCCGGCTGAGGATGAAAGGTGAGTTCTGTAGGTTCACCATTACGGAAGTCCTGGACAGTGGTTCTACGCTCTTCATTCAGTCGATTTTATCACTCACAGACTTCTAGAAGGTAGCAATTGTATTTTAACAGTTTTCTTAAAGACATAACACACAGGCAAAATTATTTAGCAGACTTTCCACCCTGCAATAAGACAGTGTGAGATTGGGTGAACATCCCAGATACTGATTTCCACACAGGAACCAAAACACCTGCTTTTCCTCTGCAAGAGGCTAAATCATGTTTACAGGAATCTTATCCATACCATATAAGATCCTTTAGAACTTAAAAACAGGATCAAGGTAGAAATGTTTATGTCCTGGCTTCAAGGTAAATGAGTAGCTAAGACAAGTTGACTCTAAGGTGATCGAGAGCGCAGATGAGAAGAGTAATTCGGGGAAATAACATCTTGAAATCAATAGGCAAGGCTGTCAGTGACATTCCTCAGTCCCGATTAAACCAATTTGACGTCACTAGTTTCTAATTCACCTTGTCTTGGGTTTCTTCTTTCCAGTCCCTGGCTTTCTGTATTGTTACCCAAACATCAGCAGGGTGGATTCCGGTAAACTTCCTTCCAGAAAAGACCCAGAGGTGAACGTTCCAGAAACCATTGAGAAATCCTGCTCCCAGCGGGAAGATAACAAACCGGATGTCAGAGTCCACCGAAATAGATGTCTTCTGAGTGAGGCGAACTACTCCCTGAACTACCGGCTGAGGGCATACGGTGAGTTCCATAGGTTCACCTCCACAGAAGTGATGAATGATGTCCTGCCTCATCTCGAGAAACTGACCGCTCTCTTCCTCAAAGTTAATCTTGTCTTTCCCATACTCCTAGAAAATAGAAATGTCTGTTTTACCATTTGGTTTAAGGTGGGAGACAGAAGCCAGAGTGTTTAGCAACTGTTCCACGTCTGCAGTAAGGTGGGTGTGGGACTGGGGTTGCAATCCCAGCTATGGATTTCTGATGCAGGCACAGAACCACCTGTTTTTCTGAGCAAGAGGCTGATTCCATGTTTACAGGAATCCTCTCTGTACAGTACAACATCCTGCAGAGAAGTAGCATCTAGTCTGTTGGTCCAAATGTCTGAGGCTGCTGACCTTGCACGTGGTTTTGGTTTCGGCTGAGGCCCAGCAGCAAAGCTGTGTGTGGGGGGGACCCTGGGGGAACACAGCGATAGCAGACAGTAACTCCTGTGAGTAATGAAAGGGGATCTTGCTCCTGAGAGTAGAACCTGTCGATGTGTAAGTGGCCCCATCAGAGCAGAAAGTACCCTGGTAACCGGTGCCATCAGCCTCCCAATTAGCTGGTATTTCCGGTGGGGCACCACCACAGCCTGGCTACTGTTGTGTTTGATTTAGAGGCGGGGTTTCTCCCGTTGGCCAGGCTGATCTCGAACTCCTAGGTCAAGGGATCTGCCCTTTCAGACCTCCTAAAGTGCTGGAGTCCCAGTGCATGAGCCACCATGCCGGCTCCACAGATTCGTTTTTAAGTAGAGCTTGTTAAAAAATACATCCGTTCGGTCCCAGTCTCCGGTATACATTTCTCTAGACCCTTCGTTGGCAGTGATACCGGATGAGCTAGATGAGTATTGCAGCAACCCTTCGGAAAGCAGTCAGGGGAAGTTTTGAAGATTTTGGGTAAAAAGGTTTAATCGTTGCACTGACTTAAGTCAGAGGATATGGGATCGAGATCTACAA